GCACCAGCCGCCGCGTCGCCCTCGCCTGCCCGCGCTGTCTGAGAGGGCATCTCGCGCGGCGGGCCGCGCCCCAGGCCTGCGCCGTGACCTGGCCCTCCTGAGACATCGCGATGACTGCCCAGCCCGCGCTGCGGTGGGCGGGGAAGCGGCTGTTGATGTAGGGGCCGTCTGTGAAGACCTGCGCGCCAGGCGGCGCCGCCGTCGGGTTCTCCCATCCGATCCGCTGTCGCCCCCAGCGAGGCCGCCAGCGCGATCTCTTCAACGAGGGCGCCGCGTCGACGAAGAGACCCTGGGCGAACAGCTCGCCAAATTTTGCCTCGAGGTTGCGCGACGCGCCGGCTCCCTGCAGCAGGTCTGCTGGAAGACGATCTCGTCTCCAGCCATGCCAGGCTGGGCACTCGAGGTGCCGGTGAAACATCGCCCCTGCCCCCCCTTGGCACAGGAGGCATGCGGGGCTGATGTCTGACTTGTGCCCGGCGAGCCTGGCCTGGGGCCCGTGGGGCAGCGGCGCCAGCCAGCGCGGGCAGTCCTTGTGGTGGCGGGTCCAGCTCTGCGCGGCTGTCATGCCCAGCAGCTCGCTGACTGGCGCCCGCGCTGGAGGCTGCCGCCGCGGCCAGAAAGCATCGGCGCGAGCGCGGCGCTCCTCCGCGGCGGCCGCCCTCCCGGTTGCTTCGCGAGCGCGCTCCGCCAGGAAGGCGGGCGACCAGCGCCGCGCGTCAAACTCCGCGCCCAGCTCATCCTCGACGGCGAGGCTGTCCTGCGCGAGCTGCAAGCCGATGCGCTTCATGGTGAGCACCAGCGCCGCCGCGGGGTCCTGCGCCGCCGCCCGTGGCCTCCGGCTGTCCTCGAGCCTGCGGCTGGGCTACAAGCAAGCCTTGACCGCGGCTGGCCAGGTCTGGCGCGCCCAAGTCGCACTGACGGAGACCTGCGCGGCCATGCCCGCCACGATGACCATGGGGTCCTGGCGCCGGCCGCCTGCGGAGCATTGCAGCGCGAAGCTGGGCGCCGCTCCTGCGGCCAGCCACCCTGCACTCTTGGCTGCCGCCACCCTCGGGGCCCGCGCGCGGCCAGGCGGCGCTCCGGAGATCGATGAACCCCAGAGGGCTCTCGCCGTCGGCCCCGCCCTCGTCGCTCTGGATTGCCGCAGACCTCGACCAAAGATCCGTCCGAGGCGAGACGCCTGTCGCAAGGCTGAAAGCTCGCGCGCCACTTGCGTGGTCGCCCTGCGGTGGGCCCCCGCCGTCGCGTCGCCTCCGAGGTCTCGATGTCCTGAGACGAACGCGCCTGAGGGCAGCGGCCAGCTCTCCTGTGCCTGCAGCGCCCTCTGCAGGTAGGTCGACCGACGACGCCGGCGCCTTCGTTTTGCTCCAGATAATGGGCAGGCTCTTGCCGCGCAGCATGGTCACGATCCCTGTGGCGAACTGGCTAATCTGTCGCGCCAGGATCCGTTTCGCGCCGATGCCGTGCCCCGCTACATCGTCGATCACGTTGGCCACTCGACCCACTTGGATGAGGGCGCGACCACGAAGCAACAGATCGCACAGCATCAGACGAGCCATCGTGGTAACGCACGAGCAGCCTGGACCCTGTCGCGCAGATCTCCTCGCTGACGGCGCCGCCCACCGCGGCGCGCCCAGGCCCAGCGATGGCGACGCAGAGGCCTTAGCCAGGCCAGGGCTGAAGCCGTTCGCCTCCGCCGCTCGGAGGAGCTGCTGGTGGTCGAGCCACTCGTGCAACTTGCCGAGGTCGAAGTAGACGGACACCCCCCCGAAGCCCTTCGAGCGTGCCAGCCCGAGGTAGAGGTTGTGAAGGTAGGCCGCCCTGTCGCACCTGGTGTCTGAATTGCTGCCCCAGATCTCGGGCAGCTCGCGCTCCGTCTCCCATCTGGCGCAGCAGCGTCTCCGAATGCGGCCCCATAGCCGTGGCCAGAAAGGCATCAGCCCGATTGGTCTCCTGCCGCCGTCGGGCTTCGCCAGGAACACGATCAGCGTCGCGAAGAGGCCCGAGGGTTTGGGATCTCGCTCCCAGGCCGTCAGCAGCTCCGCCGCGCGGACCGCGAAGGGCTAGCCCAGGAGAAGCAGCATGCGGGGGTAGAAGCCGTCCCAGCCCAGGGCAGTCTTCTTGGGGAAGGCCGTGGCCGCCGTGATCACTTCCGCCCCAGTGACCGCAGGCAGTTCCATGTTGTTCAGCTCTCAGGCGGGCGAGGTCCCCCTTGCGTCCTTCTCCTGATGCAGCGAGTTGGGCCCCCCCCTGTCAACCCGGAGCTGCGTCTGGTCCAAGGGCCCATGGCCTACCAGCGAAACTGGTGGGGCGCCTGCTGGGCCTCCCTCGTCCAGAGCGGAAAGAAACTTCCTCGTCGTGCTGCTGCTCACTGACTGCATGCGTTCCGCTGCCTCCGGCTGCAAGGGCGCCGTCCATGAACTCCGCCCAGCGGCGCCGCGCAAGCTGGGCGTCCGACTTGGCGTGGTTGGCCGTGGCTGCCTGGATGGCCTCCAAGAAGCCGCCAGCACGCGCGGGCGCCTCGACTTCCCGAGACAGCAGCCGCATGCTCGCGGGCGCGGACATGTCGCAGCCATGCCGGGTGAAGTTCGGCACCGAAGCGAGGGCTGCATCCTTCAGGAATCCAATGCAGGCCCGATGTCCGGGCGGCGGAGCCAGCGCCGCCGCGGCCGCCGTCAGCTGCCTCGCGAGCCGCCCCGGGGACATCCAGAGCCTCGTCAGCGGGCTGACCTTCCTGGTCGCCCCGGTGCACTGGAGGTCATTCGAACGCTTGTGGGCCCTGCAAACGCCGCGCGACCTGCCGTAGTAGCCGCCGCCGTCCCGAATCTCGAAAAGCCCGATCAAGTGCTTCTCCGCTACGCCATAGAACTCGCGCGCGGCTTCGTCGGGAAGGCCTCGAGCATCCAGCAGAAAAGCCTGCCGCTGCACCTCTTGGGCCGAGGCATCCGCTCGAGCCTTCGCCTCGGGCGCCACCTACTGCGTTGCGTCGAACCTCCGCGGCGACCTCAACACCCAGACGTGAGCCAGGGCGCCCCGCTTCTCGAGGGAGAAGCGCACTGGCACGAGCGGGCGCGTCGTCGTCGGCCCAAGTGCCTCGAACTGGGGTCCAAGCGCCGCCGGCGAATCCGAGAAGACGAAGTAGTCGTATTTATTGCCGTAGCAGGTCGGCTGCGGGGGCTCCAGCACGACACCTCCGATCGAACGAGGCCACCGTGGCGCCGACAGCTCCTGCGGCCCCATGCTCCAGTCGCCCGCCACAATGAAGGGCTCGTTGGCAGCGTTCAGGAAATCCTGGGCCACGCCGAGCAGCTCGAGGTTGACGCCCGCCAACCTTGAGCCAAAATGGCTACGGGCGGTGTGGGCATTGGATAGGGAACCCTTAGGCAAGGAATCCAGGGTCTGGAGGCCAGTGGAACTCCAATCGTGGATCGGCCATGGATATCACCGCCGCCCTCATTGGATAAGGAATCCTCCAGGGTCTGGCGCCTCCTGGGCGCATTCCTTAACCAACACCCCGACCGTATGTACGTTTGGTCTTCCCTGACTATCGTTCAGCATTGGCCGATTCTGGGTCGCCAGTGGCGTTCAACGCTGAGCGCCGGCGGCGGGGTCGCCGCCGGTCGACATGACACGAACCTGCAGTAATTAGATGCCTCCCGAATGGGGTCACAGAAGATGGGGTCCGACGATCTCCAATGCGCCGCGAAGCATCGGCGATACATCGGCGATACATCGGCGATGCATCGGTGACACATCGGCGATACATCGGTGGTGCATCGGTGATGCATCGGCAATGCATCGACGACGCCAGCGTGGAGGTAATCTGGCTCAACGTCGAGCGGCATCGAAGATGTAACAGCGGCGCGATCCTCCGGCTCCATCTGCTCGGACCACAGCTGAGAATGAAAAGAAGGCAGGATCGAGACAACATGAAACCGATGTTATTCAGAAATCCCTGGGAATCAGCGGGCTTGGGAGATGTATCAGGCGCCGCGGCTGTTTCAGAGCGCTCCGGAACGCTCTGAGAGCGTTTTGGAACGCTCTGGAACGGATGCACCTCCATTCTGTAGGCCCGTCCAACAGCTACTCGGACGACTCGGACCCCACCTGAGAGGCCTAAGCTATTTGCGTTCCGCTGGAGGGTCCTGAGAGAGGTGAGGCAGGGAGCACCGAAGAGTCCCACACGGGGGGGACGTGGGAGTCCTGGACCACCGCCCGAGATCGCTCGGTCCAGCAGCCACGTCGCCCGAGGCCTCCCCGCAATTTTTCGGAAGTCGTGCTCTCGCCCCGACGCTGGCTGAAGGCTCGGTGCCGACGGCCACGAGTCCAGGTGAACCAGGAAGCTGAGATGCACATGGCCGCGCCAGGCCGCTACATGGACTGAGGGCGGCTGTAATTACAATGGTGGTATGATCGCCTGACCACCGCGCGCAATCATTCGCCGCGCATCTTCCTGCGGAGAGCAGCTGCAAGGAGTCTCGAAGGGAGAGGGAGGAGAGCTGGAATTTAGGAGACTCAGGGCGCTGCGCATTCAAATCAAGAACCCGACTCTCAAGAGGGTCAGGCAAACAACGATGACCCTGGCGGCCACGATCGTAGCCAGTCGAGGCACCCAGGACATTTCGGTCGAAGAGAACAACGATACATCATAGACCGAATCAGCTTCCCTCTGCCTTCTTTGGGAACTGACTCCTGTTGCCCCACAAAACCTTACCCCAAATCCAGGGGCACATCAGAGAAGCCCTGTCGTGTTTCTCTGGTCTGAATCTAGATTCTTGGCCTCCTGTGAAGCACCCGATCCCAAGTCCGTCAAGAAATCCTTCAAGTCCGATGGCATGTCCTTCAGAACGTCTTTCATAGAAAAAGAAAAGCGGAATAAACACTAACTGCTCGCACTCCGCGCGGATTTCTTGGATCTGCGCTGGACCGCTTCCCTGCAGCGCTGGAGGCCGCCAAGGGGCCTAGCGCGGATCCTAGAAATCCGCGCGGCGAGAGGTTTTTACGTTTCTTGCGTTTTCCTCCATCGATCTCAAGAAAGGGCAAATGACTGTATTTATTTGATCAGCTGATGCTTGTTTAAACCGTCACTTGGCTTACAAAAGAGTGCAAATTAATTCAGCATGCGGGGGGCGGAGGAGAGCCTGCCGTCCGTTCTTGTCCAAAAAGCCCAATTGGCCCGTCAACAACCGACACCGCGGTCTGGCGGTAACCCCTGCCACCCGTTCCAAGCTTCAGCGAATACCGTGCTGTTGCCATTGCGCCATTGGCTCCATGCTACGCTTGGATAGTGTGCGCGGCCTCTGCCTCCTTCGTGAGAGCTGTTCGCTGGCTTGTCAACTCCATTTCGAACGTGCTTGCCCAAAGCTCCCAACCAATTTCTTTGCACGCCCGGATCAGAATGACGTACGTGCTCGTGCACAAGGGCACCTTCGCCTGAACCGAGTCCTTGTACAATTCTACGGCGTATTCAACACGCTGATGCTTAATGCATGACTGGATTGTATGATGGTAAGCGAACCGGTCGGGCTGGAAGGACTGCTCTCGCATCGCATCGAAGATGCCAATGGCTTTTGCGAATTGATAACTGAACGAATAGACCCTGATCATGATGCCATAAGTTCTTGCATTGGGAGCAACCGCATGACCAGCCATGTTCCCGAACAAATGTTCGGCCTCGTTGTGCATGCCAAGCTGAAGACAAGCACCCAACACTGCATTGTACGCCTTCCGCTGGAGTTGAATACCTGAGCGCTCCATCTCCTTGCTCACCTTCACAACGAATGCTGGATCGGAATGCTCGTAGGCCACAATCATGGAACGATATGCCCAATTGCTGAGGTTGACCCTGTCGCTGTGCATCTTCACAAAGTATTCCATGACAATCTGCGGAGGCTGATCATTCCACGCAGACAGCACACGGTTCTGGGTACTAGGCGACGGATCGAGTCCATGAGCTCGAACTAAATCAAGAAGCGACACTCCGTCCCTTTGAATGCGCTTGTCATCGAGAGTTTCAATGACGAGCTGGAAGAAGTTGTTCGACACGGCCTTGTCAATGAGGTGTGCACCAGGAACGGCCCCCTCCTTCAACATGTGGTTGAATAACTTCACAGCTACGCCTCCTCTTCCGAGTCTAATGGAGGCACGCATTACTTCCGCCACGTTTGGGAGTGTGTGGGCCACGCCCTCTCTCTGCGCGCTCTCGATGATGCGCACGGCGTGCCTCGGTCCTCGTTTGTCCTGCCCAAGCTGATCCTGGGAGCCCTTCGGGATGCTATGGGTAATACGTGGTTTCTGAGGCGGCGCGCGTTCCTCGACGGAGGCTGCGCAACAAGCGTCGCGGCTACGGTCGAAACCCGCCTTGCCGATCACCGATTCTGCAGCGGCCACTTTGCTCAGGTATATACCGTTGTCGATACTCTTCATGTTGCGGGAGTGGAGGAAATAGACAAGAACGCCAAGCAATACCAAGACCAGTTCGATGTCGATCTCAAGACTTGGCCCCCCACAACTGCTGGACGTGGCAGAGAGAACAGCGTGTAACGCGCAGAACGCAGTACAGAGCGCTGCGACGAGCATGGCGAGAGGTACCAATGTCTTACACTTCTGCTGCACATTGTCAGGCGAAAACGACATCAGGCACGCCAGAAATCGAAATATGTAGGAACGTTTAATGGTGTGCGAATGCAAATATAGAATGTTGCCCACGTTCGGGCCGAACCAGACACGGGCTAAAATCGTTTGAGCCAACTGGCCACGCGAATTCTCGGACCTGTCTCGGACCCGTTGGGCTTTGTCGAGTGGCAGTTCCCGATGCCCTCGGGAGGCAACCTTGGGGACCCACGCGTCCAATTAATATTTCGGCCAAGCCAGCGAGCCCTCAGCGCCGTAGGACAGCCCCGAACAGGTCCACGCGGACATCGCTCGACACTGGCGTGGACTCGGCGTCAGGAAGGCTGCCCAGGGACGTCCAGGCCTGCTCGGGGCTGCCAAAGGCCGCCCCGGCCCCCTTGCCACAGCAAGGTCGCGGGTCCCCCTCCGCCCGGTGTACTGTGACATGTAGATGTTTGGATGTACATGTCTACGTATATGTATACGTGCGCGTGAAATAAAACACACATGTCTGTACACATGCATACACGTATGCATCTACATGTACTGATGTACCTGCATGTGCCCATGCATAGTCATGCGTAGACATACAGCATGAAAAAACAGTCGCAGACATATATAAGCATACATAAAATATGTACAGGCACATGTAAGCAGTCATGCATCATCATCTGCATCTGCACATTTTCATGAACACATGCGTATACTTCACATGCGCGGATACGTACACACATGCATGTATAAACATGCACAGTTGTAGCCACAAGTGCATGCATACAACTTTTACTACACGACGTACAACACCGGCGCTTCGTTTCATGCATAGCGATAGTTGCTGGTGTCCGTCGTTGCCATCGTCGCTACAAGGATGGACTTCCTTCTTACTCCTGATAGTTCATATTGCTCGTTCTCGCCCTACCCTGTGATGCCTTTCCCATCCTCCTCAGTCTTTTGTTCGGCGGAGCCTCATTCCTGGAGAGTCTCTTGCGGGTCTCGCAAAACTTTGTTCGGGTGCTTCTTTTGGAGCCTGTGGGAGCCTTCTAAAGCGTCCGATGTCCTCGCCCTCCACTCCTCCCATCCTCCATCCTCCTTCGCCCTACATTCTCCTCCTGCTCCTTCCCCCTCCTCCTCCCTCCTCCTTCTCCTCCTTCTCCTCCTCGCTCCTCCTCGGGCTGGCGGCATCAAGATCGTGGGTCGACGCAGCCCCCCCCCCCTCGGTGGGCGGTCGACCAAAAGCGGTTATCTAACTAGAAGATGTTTCACTTAAGAAGACGCGAACAAGAAAGGCAGGACGAGAGGAGGGGGCCCCAAGGAAGCAGGGTATCCATGTCCCTCATCGTCCCAACGGGGGGGAAGGAGGACGAAGGGGACCACAGAAGTGAGGAAGGGCGAGGATGGGGCAAGATGCGGCAAGCGACAGCTGCTCCTGACTCCTCCGCCTCCTCCTCCTCCCTCTCCTCTTCCCTCTCCTTCCCGCCTCCTCCTCCTCCTCCTCCTCCTCCTCCTCCTCCTCCGCCTCCTCCTCCACCTCCGACTCCGCTCCGCCTCCGCCTCCGCCTCCTCCGCCTCCTCCTCCTCCTCCTAATCCCTCCTCCTCTCTCCTCCTCTCCCTCCTCCCTCCCCCCCTCCTCCTCCCTCCTCCCCCTCCCTCCCTCCTCCTCCTCCCCCTCCTCCTCCTCCTCCCTCCTCCTCCTCCCTCCTCCTCCTCCTCCTCCTCCTCCTCCTCCCTCCTCCTCCTCCGCCTCCTCCTCCTCCTCCTACACCTCCTCCCTCTCCTGCTCCTCCTCCTCCTGCTCCTCCTCCTCCTCCTCCTCCTCCTCCCTCTCCCCGTAGCCATTTTGGCTCAAGCCATTTTGGCTCAAGGTTTTGAGTTCCCCAGTGGAACAAGTGGATACCGCTAGTCCGCGGCAGTGCCAGAGCGCTTGCGCTCGACAGTCTTTCTTTCAGCCAGTACCGCAGGGGCTTCTGGCGGCCCAACGGCACTTGGTGCTCGGTGCCCCTTTCGCGCTGTGAGCTCCTGGCGGAGCGTGCATGCCATGCCGTGGACGTGGACTACTGAGCGTCCCCCTCCCTGGCGTGCGCAAGGTGATCAGCAGCGCCGTGATGCTGGTCGCCGTGGCCACAAGCGTCGCCGTGATGGTGATGCCTCATCCTACGCTGTCTGCAGCAAGTGCGGGCACTGGGAGTACCTCTACCATGGTCACGTTGCGTGCAGCCGGTGCGGCGGATCGTATGTCATGCGCAATAAGGCTACGGGTGAGTCGAGTGCGGCGGTCGGCTCACAGTTTCCCCTCGATCTGTCAGGACAAGCAAGTGCTGCAGTCGCTCAATTTCCTGGACTACGAGATGTGCTCGCTAACCACCTGCCGCCTCCACCACCGCCGAACGTCCCGTCCGAAGCGCAACTGGACGCAGCGGTGGCTGGAGAGCGGACTGCCTTGGCGAAGGGCGTGGAGGAGGCTGCCAAGGCTGAGCGCTTGGCCTGGCAGAGTCGCTCTGAGCGTCAAGAGGCTTTGCTCAAGGCCCGTGAGAAGGTCAAGCAGGCTGAGGCTGCCTTTGCCGAAGCTTCCTCGCACCTTGAGGAAGCCCAGTCCGCCCATACCGTCGCCAAGGAAAAGAAGGACAGGTTCGACGAGGCCGCGTTCAAGAAGCAAAAGATGGAGGCTGCGGCGGCCGCTCAAGCTGCTGCGCGGCCCCCCTCCGCTGGTGCAGACGGCCCACCTGGTGGAGAACCTGGAGGCGCTCACGGCGTTTCTGGAGCGGGCCCTGCGCCTGAAGAAGCCCGCGAAGTACTTGGCAAACTTCATACCCTTGGAGATGAAGACCTTCGGAAGCTCGCTGACAGCACCAAGGTTCCTTTCAGCGAGTGGTGCAACTTGCGCACCGCCCAGCTTGCCGCTCACAACGTCCTCAGTTCGGTCACTCCTGGCTCCTCGGCGTCTGCGTCGTCTGCTCCTGGAGTGGCTGGCGCTGATGAGGGTGCAGATGCTGCTATGGGCGGTGCGGGTGGCGAGGATGGTGGTGAACATAAGGCTGTTCCTGTCGATGCTGATGACGATCTTCTTGGCGAAGCCGATCGGCAGGAGCTTTCTGAGCTTCGCAAGCGGTCTGCGGAGGAATGTAAGCCTGAGGACCTCGAGAGGTTGGAGACCCTCCTGGTCAATTATCCCAGTGCGACCCTACCTAGGAGTTGGAGCATTCAGGAAAGCAACAGCTAAGCTAAGCTAAGCTAAGCTAAGATGGGGTAAGCTAAGCTAAGCTAAGCTAAGCTAAGCTAAGCTAAGCTAAGCTAAGCGAAGCGAAGCTAAGCTAAGCTAAGCGAAGCGAAGCGAAGCTAAGCTAAGCTAAGCTAAGCTAAGCTGGGCTAGGCAAAGCTAAGCTAAGCTAAGCTGAGCTGAGCTAAGCTGAGCTAAGCTAGGCTAGGCTAGGCAAAGCTAAGCTAAGCTAAGCTAAGCTAAGCTAAGCTAAGCGAAGCTAAGCTAAGCTAAGCTAAGCTAAGCTAAGCTAAGCTAAGCTAAGCGAAGCTAAGCTAAGCTAAAGCTAAGCGAAGCGAAGCTAAGCTAAGCTTAGCTAAGCTAAGCTGGGTGAACCCAGGGGGCGCAACTGGGGGAACCAGGGGGGCGCAACCGGGGGAACCGCCCGGGGTGGGTTACACTGCCCGCCCCCTTTAGCAAAGAAAGTAAGAACCCTTCTAGGCAGAGCCTAGGTAGGGAAAAAATTTCATGCACAAGCGCATAAGAAGCTCAAGGTGGCTACTTATGCTAACGATATGTGGGTCAACGCTTTTGCCCACTTGGCAGCCCCCCAAGTTGTGCAAGGCGCGTCGTTGGTTTGACGAGTCCCTGGGGCAGCGATGGCAGAGGGTCGACGTGAGCTCGACGATCGATGTCAAGTTCTGCAACGTTTCCAGCTGGTCTGAACTGGCCAAGTCTGAACTTGCCAGAGCTGTTGAGGATGTTGACGTTTACCTCTTTGCCGAGCACCATCAGGGACCCGACAAGCTACAGGCCGCCAAGAGAGACTGCTCATCTATGGGATGGCGCCCGCACTTCCAAGCAGCCCTTCCCTCGCCTGGCGGAGGATGGCATGGTGGTGTCGGCGCTGTCGTGCAGAAGGCGGTCTACTGTAAGAAATTCCTACGTAGTCTCCCCGCTGGGGTCGAGAACGTGGGCCAGGGGCAGAGTTGGTTTTTCCTGGAAATGAAGACGCAGCATTGTACGCTCGCTCTGGGAGTTATCTATCTGGTCTCTGGGATTGGAGCTTCAGGTATAAATCTCGACCGTCTCCATGAAGTGGTTGAGTTCCTGGGGATGCTTGAGTGCCCGTGGATCCTCTTGGGAGATTTCAACATGGAGCCCCTCGAGTTGCACCAGTGTGGATTCTGTGAGGTTGTCTCTGGCGTCACGGTGGACCCCCGCAATACTGACTTTACCTGTGACAAAGGCGCTGGCCGCCTGATCGATTATGCTGTCGTTTCGCGGGACATCCGCCCATACCTTACGATTGATGCGGATTGGAGCTCCGCTTTTAAGACACACGCCTGCTTGCATGTGCAGATGTCGCTCGATGTTCTCCGCAACACCGCGATGAAACGAGATCGACCTGTCCCAATCGGGGCCCACCCTGGGCCTGATCAGCGTTGGAGTGATTTTGTCCACCGTGCTGGTGACCAAGTTGTGGAGATACCTCGCGAAGTCCGTGGAGCTTTTCTCGAGTTTCACTGGCCGCGACGCTCGCACGGACTCTCGGAAGCCTATCAAAAGTGGTCTACTGCTGCGGAAATGCTGCTTTGCTCCCGCCCCCTCCACACCTGGCCGTCGCCGGGGGGGCGCAGGGGCAGAGCAGTAGTTGTGCAGGAGCGGACCCTTCCCAAACGAGGAGTGATGAAACAAGGTTTTTCCCGCCCCTGCCTGGCTTTTTGGACGCTGATATCGTCCCGCCTGTATGATTTTGCTGTCGCCTTGAAGAGAGGAGGCACCACCCAGGTCACCGCTCTCAGGACTCTCCTCCGAGCGCGCGGTGATGAGGTGGGTCTACACCTTGAAGGCCTTGCCGATGCACGGCAAGCTGCTGTCTGGACAGGGTGGTTGCAAGACATCCCAAGTGACCCTCGGAAGCTTGAGGTCATCCAAGGAGCTCTCGTCCCCGTCCTTCGTCGCGCGTGGACTGCGGCTCGGAAAGCTAATCGCCTCGGCATCCGGGCCTGGCTCTCTAAGGGACTCGCGGGGGGAGCGAAAGTGGTGCACCGTTGGTTACGGTCTGATGCCAAAAAGGAGGTTGAGATGTTTGTTACTCCCACTTTTGTTGCCCAAGCCCCCCAAAAGGTGATGAGGTATCGC